CCTGCTCAGCCTGCTTTCTTATGCAACACAGGCCCACCTGCCCAGGGGTGGTACCACCCACAGTGAGCTGGGCCCTCCCACATCACTCATCAAGAAGATGCCCTTCAGACATGGCCACAGGCCAGTCCAATAGAGGCAATTCCCCGATTGAGGCTCCCTCAACCCAGGTGTGTCAAGTTGACACTAAAGCTATCCAGCACACTTTGGAAGATACCACCACCAAGATTTGCTGATTCGTTGAATGTGGGATGGTGAAGAAAGAGAAAGTCAATGACGGCTAAGTAACCGAGGGAGACAGAGAAGGCTGGGGTGATGCAGATGTGTGCGCGCGTGTGTGTCGGGGGCTGTGTGAAGAATCGGTGTGTGAGGGAGCGGGAGATAGGATGTTAGGCTCCAAAGGAGACTTGAAGAGGACATAAAGAAGCCTGCCTATAAATATAAAAGTTGAAAAATCTGGCAAGCAGCGAGTTTGGCTAGGAGAGGGGTAAGAACGCAGGACTGAAAGCAGCCTGCCAGGCAGGGGAGAGGGAAGGGCGCCCGGGGTGAGGGGTTGCCTTATTATGATGAAAGACACAGCAATGTGTTTTCCGGCTTCGATAGAAGACCCAGTGGTGAAGAGGAAAAGAATGATGCAGGAACCAGAAGGCTGAGCCACTAGAGCTGCTCCTCACCAAGGCTTCACATACCTGAGGAGAATGTGGCTCATGAGGCAGGAACAGAAGAGAAGCTGGGAGACAACTGTCATGAGGAGGGAGTTGAAAGTGGGGAACAGTCACCTGAGATTAATTTAAGGACATATCTGATACCAAATGCATTCATTCATTGGTTCATTCATTCATCATTAACTACACTGATCCCTCCTGTGGTTATTCAGGACTGAAGGACACCCAGACTTGGGGCAGATTGAAAGATAGAGAGATGGCCAGAGAAATGGCTCAGTGGTTAAGAGCATTGGTTGCTCTTGCAGACGATCCGAGTTAGATTCCCAGCACCCACATGGCAGCTAACAACTGTCTATAACTCCAGTATCAGGAGATCCAATGCCTTCTTCTGGCCACTGAAAGGATTTCACATACCTGGTAGACATGCAGGCAAAACAGTCATACACATAAAATAAATATAAATATTTTTTAAAAGATAGAGTTATCTGCTTTGTCAGTGAGAATGGGCTTCAGAGTCTGCAGGATCTGGATCATTACCTGGTCCTATCTCAAGCAAACTGGGTGGCCTGGGGCAAAGGCCTTAACCTCCAGGCTTCTTCATCTCTGAACTGGGAAGTAGAGACTTGCCTCTTGGTATGTGCACAGAAAACACAGTCTACTGATAGGCACGCAGTAGGTGCTCCTGACTTATTGTTAATATGTGAGCTCAGTGCTTTAACAGCTTCAGTCTGAGGCCCAGAGGTGTCTCTTTTTTAGTGTTTTACTTATTATTTTTCTTTTATATGTATGAGTGTATTGCTTGCATGTATGTAAGTGCACCCATGTCATACAATGCCCATGGAGATCAGAAAAGGGCGTCAGATCCCCTGGAGCTGGAGTTGTGGACGGTTGTTAGCTGCCATGTGGGTCCTGGGAATCGAACTCAGGTCCTCTACAAGGGCTGAGTTCCTCTACAAGGGCAGTCAGTGCTGTTAACTGCTGAACCATCTCTCCAGCACCCTCCCCCCTCCCCCCGGAGGTGTCTCTTAACAGAATATAGGACTTGCTGTAACAGATGAATCATGAATTTCTGGATCTAGTTCCTGGAGTAGCTAGGTCCACGTAGCACGATGCTTTGCAAGTGAATCACTTGTTCTCTGCTGGTTGGTCCAGTGTGTCATAGATGCTCATTTGTCTAGGGAGAAGGGAATGAGCTCTGTTCTCCTGCCCAAGGTCAGCCTGTACAGTAGACTTTTAAGCAAAAGAACTGATGAGTCCCCAAGACAGACACACTAAGGGGCCCCCGTGGGCATATTCACATCCCAAAGAGATGCCTAGAGAAAGAACTAAGTGTGGAACACTAGGTAGAAATCAAGTCAGCCAGCAAATAGGCTCAGTTTTATGTCTAGCAAAAGGTGCACAAAGCCCATGGCTCTGAGAGAAGCCTCCCAGCAGGGTTTATGTCTGAGACTCAGTGGTCTGGGGTGTGCAGGGGTACTCTCCAGCAGTTTGTACCCTCTCTACTTGCTCCCCTCCTCTTCCTTCCCTTTGCGGGGGAAGAGGATGTCACACCTAATAGTGGTCCAGGGCTCCCTTCTGACCAAGCTTTTGTTGATCAAGCAGTTCACTGATGGCTCCCAGAGAACATGCAATGGCATCAATAAATTTGGGAAATGAGGCCGAAGGGAAAAGGAAGAAAAGGCTAAAGAGTGTTCAAGGTTGTCATTTTGTTCAATATCTGCTTTCATTTTTTTAATCCTTCCTATTGAGCCTGCCCTCTGAGTCTTTTAGTATGCAGAGCTGAGGCAGAGGAAGCAGAAAACTCATTTCCTACACCAGGATCTGGCTATCCTGAGAGTTCTTTTCAGAGAGATAGATAGCAAGGCATGAAGCCTGCAGAAGGGATGCAGAAAGCCTGAGAGGTAAATGGGCTGAGGACTGGGCAGGAGAGGTTTCCCCAGGGCAAAGAAGTTGTCACCCAGCAATGTGGGAGCCAGTCTCTTTTCAAGCTTTGTACATGTTCAGCTCAGAGTCAGCTGGCCCTTGTTTTGGCCATGGGCATTCTGATAGGATCAGCCTTCATCATTATAGACAAGAGTGTCTGGGGGATCACATGTTAATTTTTCACCTCCATGTTTTGACATTGTCTGGGGATCTGGTGCTATTTCTTACGTGCCACCTCCGGCATCTCCACCTTACCATCTCCAGGTCTCACCTGGAGAGTCACATCTAAGCCATTGAGAAGTCACTGAGATGTTAGCCTAAGGCCAGCAGCCCTCCAGCAGCCTAAGGGACAGATATGTCCCTGCCCCTGCCCAATGCACAGAGTCAAGGCAGCTACAGAATAGGCATGTCAGGGGGTGGACCAATGTGGGGGATGGGAGAAGGAAGGAAAGGAAGGACCCATCTTTAAGACTCCTGTGCTCTAGCTGCCAATGAAGTTAGCTGTATTGGTGAGTTCTGGGTTATTGAAAGACTCTGCCTCAAAGGATAAAGTGAAAGAACAATCAAGGATGATTCTCTACATCAACTTCTGGTATCCACATGCGCTCACATACACATGCACTCACATACTTACCACCAAATGGTGTCATTATCGGTATGAGAACAAGGGAATTTTAGGAATGACAAAGTGTCCATCACTGGGCTCATTTTTCAATAAGGGAGTGTTTTCTTCTCAATTCTGAGAAATTAGAATTCCCCCTAATTTCAGGGAAAGAGCTGAGTGAAGAAAGTCCAGGTCGAATATTGCAGTGACTTCCCAGGAGACCCTAGGGCACAGAGAACTCTGGCCTGTGACATCCCCTCCCTACCCCTTCATCTGCTGGAGGGTATATATTTTTAATTTCACAATAAGAAAGATGTTCTGGGGCTGGAGACATGGCTCAGTGGTCAAGAGTACTTGCTTCCCTTGCAGAGGACCTGGGTTTGGTTCCCAGCACCCATATCAGACAGCTTACAACTCCCAATTCCAGAGGATCCAGCACCCTCTTCTGGCCTCTGCAGTCACTGCACACACATGATGCACATACAAATAAGCAAGTGCACACACATACTCAGAAATAATTTTTTTAAAAGAAAGATGCTCTGGAAGGAGAATTCTGGAAGTGAAGTCACTCTCAAATCCTATTCTGAGTCAAAGTCTCCTCCAGCCTTTCATGACAGGAATAAAAGAAAGCCTCAAAAGGAAATGAGGCTGGGGATGTGGCCCAGAGGGTAGAGTGCTTGCTGTCCAAGCATGAGGACCTGAGTTCAGATTACCAGTACCCACATTAAAACCAGGCATAGCAGTGTGTACCTGTAACCCCAGAGCTGAGGGAGAGGGGTAGAGACAGGTGGTCGGAGGAAAGCCCCAGGCTCACTGGCCAGCTAGTCTAGCTAAAACAGGGAGCTCCATGTTCAGTGAGAGACCCTGTCTCCAAAATATAAGGTGAAGAAGAGACTGAGGAAGACACCAATGTCAAACTCTGGCCTCTACTTGTGCCCCCGTGGGCAAGTGCACTGATACACACATGTGTACACACATGCACATAACATCCCACCATACACATACACACAAAAGAATAGCTCACACTTTGATCTACAGCAGGTACCCGTGTTTCATTTCCTGCTAAGGAGAAGATAGAAACAAAATACACAACCTGTTAGAACCCTGTTGACTTCTCCCAGTCTCAAATGGGCACGCAGAAGCACAGAACCACATTCACCCGCCCTTAAGGCACTAATGACAGTGGGCCACAAACAAGCTACTGCAAAGGCCACATTTCATTAGAAGTACATCCAGTCACTTTTTATGGGAAGCAGGAGATATCTTCAGTGGGCTTTTCAAGAAAGTTCCTTTAGGTTGAGATGATTTTGTTATTTCTGATGGAAAATTTCTAAAGTGCTTTATATTGCTTCTGTCTTCTTTGGCACATTGAACAGAATTTATTGCATTGAACATAATTTGATGTTTTATTGACAGCTCAAGGGGACCACGGTCAACTAGCAGAATGGTCATCAGTGGCTATGGAAAAGATACTTGCACAACTTCAGTCATCTGAAGTTGTCAGCCACGGTCATCTGGTTTTGACAGTTCTTTCTCTGGTTCTCTGGACGAGCACAATCAAGTTCCCCCTTTCTTACTCACAGGCTTGTCAGTCATTTCTAACCAGTGCCTTCTGCATGAAGGGGCTAAGCAGGTGGTAGGGCCTGTTTGCTCCTAGCCTGATATGGCTCTGGAGAACTGGGGTTTTTTGTGATCATCCTGTGCTCCCTCACTCCTCCTCAGGCAGTTCCTAGTCCTTATGGTCCTGTATACCTCCAGGAACCAATTCATCTTCCTGCAGTTTCAAAATGCAGCCCTTGGGAAACAACATCTTTGTCTAGGCATCAACTGTGTAGTAAACACATTGCTAAATCAGCTGGCGCCTGGGGGAAGCTCTGAGGATGGCCACATGGTCCCCTAGAGCCCAGTGCCGGAGTCTGGTAGCAGCTCTCTTCTTTTATTCTGTCATCTGTGCTCAGATTCTTGGCAGTTCTATTTCAGATGGCTGCAGTACCAAAGTCCAGTCCCCTGATGAATAGCATCACAGCTACATACCAGTAACTATACATAATTGAAAAAAAAGTACTTAGCTGTGCAGTACTGTTGGGCAACAGTATTTTTAGGGAGTCGTTTGTGGGATTTGCGGGGGGAGGTCTTGTTTGTCTGCTTGCTTCTGTATTGCTTTAACTGCTTTGTTTTAATTTAAATTCCCTAGTACGACCACATCCCAGGCAAATACAGTTTTCAAAACTTTCTTGGATGGTTCTGATGAGCTGTTGATCTGATGCCTGGGAGCTTTCAGGGACACACCAAGGGTGTCTGTCACCTTGGCTCACTCTGCCCACCCACTTTTAAGACACATGTGAGGGATGCACTAAAAGTTGAGTGGAGGGAGGTGGCCAGTGTCCATGACAGCCTGACAGGTCGCTTCTTGACTCTTATAGCCATACTCTTCCCTGCTGCCCATCGGCCAAAGAGATCCCTGTCGCTGCCATTGAATCCAGTCCTGCAGACCTCCTTGGAGGAAGTGGAACTGCTGTATGAGGTAGGCAGAGGGCAAGCCACGACTCCAAGACACCCAAGCACCTGAACCTTCTCTATCTTTTTCGGAGGGGACGTGGTCTTCCTGAGCCCCTGAACTTGAGCAGCCTGTGCTTGGCGGGGAATGGTCTATACTCATTCTTAGAGGTCAGAGAATCCTGCCTATGACAAAGTATTGCTGGGACTCTCTCTCCTTTCCCATGTATCCTGACAGAAATGACAGCATTCAAAATGAGAAGTGAGGTATGTGCCACAAGCTCTACTGCCACACCCAAGCACGGGGTGGGATGCCCCAAGCAAAAGATTAAAACATGACTCATCGGTAATGTCCAGGCAAAGCTACATTGGAATTGCATACAGCCATGTCTCTGAGAGATGTTCTCTGGCTAGCCCCCCTCCCCCGGCCCAGCTAGGTTTCTAGAAGCCTGAACTACCCCATAGGCTCCCTTCCTCTGCCACTTACACCTGCCTCGCTGAGTCACCACTCCTCCAAACTTCAGGTTGAACTTCCTGAAACCATTTAGTTCAGGTCAGTGGTAGGAGCTTAACTGGTCTGAGTTTCAGTCCATCAGCCACATAACCTTCAAGATCCACCATTTTTCTCTGGGCCTGAATCTTAACTGTTATATGAAGTTGACCTGTGATCCCCCAAATTCTCTTCTATCTTTCACACCTTTAGATCTGTTAAGAAAGAGACACCAGCCAGGCGTGGTGGTGCGCAAAGAGATCCTCTATGAGACAGAGGCCATTCTAGTCTCCATAGCAAGCTCTAGGCCAGCTGGGGCTACAGGGAGACCCTCTCTCAAAAAGACACAAAAAGAAAGAGGGAAAGAAAGAGAGAGAGAAGGAGAAAGAGGGAGGGAAGGAAGAGAGAGAAGAGGGGGGAGAGAGGGAGGGAAGGAGGGAGGGAGGGAAGGAGGGAGGGAGGGAGGGAGGGAGGGGAGGAGGAAAGAAGAAAAAGAAAAAGAAAGAGAGAAGGAAAGAATGAAAGAGAGAAAGAAAGAGGGAGAGGGAGGAGAGGGAGTGAAGGATGGAGGAAAGGAGAAAAGAAGAAAAAGAAAGAAAGAAAGAGAGAGAGAGGAGAAAGAGGGAGAGAGGGAAGGAAGAGAGAGAAGAGGAAAGAGGGAGGGAAGGAAGGAGGAAAGAAGAAAAAGAAAGAAAGAGAGGGAGAGAAAGAAAGAGAATGAAAGAGAAAGAAAGAAAGAAAGAAAGAAAGAAAGAAAGAAAGAAAGAAAGAAAGAAAGAAAGAAAGAGAAAGAAAGAAAGAGAGAGAGAGAAAAAGAAAGAAAGAGAGAGAAAGAAAGAGGGAGAGGGAGGAGAGGGAGGGAGGGAGGGAGGGAGGGAGAGCAAGTGAGCAAGAGAGAGAGACCTGAAAGAGTCACACAGTGGAGGCAGAGAGGCAAGTTCAAACTCCATCCTAGGCAGTACACTGGCAGATGAACAGCCTCTGACAAGACTTGAAAATGGGTCACAAAATAGATTGATGCTTCGGGCAGCATCGCGGAGGGTGGATGAAGTGGATGGATGGGGACACTTAGTATCTGGGGTCCTTCCATCCCAGGAGTATTTACGAGGTTCCTCCTGGCACTGGGTGGGAACACAGATGACAGACCCAGCTCCTAGTCCTGCAAGTCAGTGATAGCTGACAGATCTCTGTATCTTGCTAACACCCCACCTCCCACCTCCCACTCCCACCCTCAGCATAACCCTCTACGTTTTTTAAATTCCTGATTTCTGGTTAAAAGTTTATCTGGAATGATCAGTTTAAGCTTTAGAAGATCGTTGGTGGGTAAGAGGGAGAAAGAAAAGAAGGAAAAATCTGGGACTAGAAAGAATAACTGGTCACTTAAATTGTGGCTTTGTGGCTGGTACCAGGCACTGGGCTACATTTGCCCACGTTTGTCCTAAGTACTTCTAACATATTCTGTCTGAAGGAGATGCCATAACTAGTTATTTGACACAGAAGGAAAGTGAAGCCCAGAGAAGTATTTTGTCCAAGGTTACATAGTGAGTAGAAAGGTCAGAGCTGGAAAGCGTCCCTTGGATTCTAAGCTCTTTCCACAGCTGTCTCCCTAAGTGCAAATGTGGATAGTGATGTCACTGTGTCCTCAACAATGCCTGGCTTCATGTCTTTCCATACCCCATCTTTCTTCACAGTTCCTGCTAGCTGAACTTGAGATCAGCCCTGACCTGAAGATCTCCATCAAGGATGAGGAGCTGACCTCCTTGCGGAAGGCCTTGAACTTCCGCTCTGTCTGCAATGACGTGATCCCGAAGCGCCTCCCAGACATCCGCCGGCTGAGTGCCAACCTAGCCAGCCACCCTGGAATCCTCAAGAAAGAAGACTTTGAAAGGACAGCACTGACCCTGGCCTATACAGCCTACCGCACAGCCCTGTCCCAAGGGTATCAGAAGGACATCTGGGCCCAGTCTCTCATCAGCCTCTTCCAGGCCCTGAGACATGACTTGATGCGGTCTTCGGGTTCCTGAGAAACTGGACCATACCAGGACCTTGAAGCAGAGACTAGCATACACAGCCTTCCAGAAGCTTCATCCTCTATTCCATTTATAGAGACCCATCAATCAAGAGGCATGTACTGCCTACAAGGAGTAGCAAAGATAAATGACTCATCCCAATATTCTTTGCCTCTTGTTTGCTTCTTGACAGACATATCTGATCCATGCCATGAGCTTGAAGAAGGCTAAAGCCTTCTACAATACTTCCAGAGACGTCATGGTTTACCTGGTGACATGTAGAAACCCAAGATATACTTCCACATCCCCCAGAGTGAGCACTGAGGGCAGAGTCTGGGTTTGGCAGGAAGACAAGGGACAGATTCCTTTGGTTCTAAGGGACCTAGTTGAATGGACATTTTCCCAGAGGTTCTATAGTAAATATAAAGAACGCAGAGTTATAGTCCAGTAAACATGCTATTAGCCAAGGATATGCTTGACTTTCCCCAAAGCCAACAAGAGGAATTGGTTGGAAAATCAGCAATGTGGTGACCTCCATGTCTTGACTCATCATTTTTTAAGTTATACTGAGACAGAGAAGCAGAAAAGGGCCCACAGGAGTGCCCCCAGTTCATCTACACCCTGTCATTCGAACATAGAAACCACGCTAAGGCAGAGAGCATCCTTCTGGTGAAGGAGGTGGCACGGCCATACCTGTCTGTCCTAGCACTAAAATTCCGTAGCATCATCAGAGACTCAGGTGTTTCAAATAAAAACCAATTTCACATGATGGATTGTTTGACCTTTTAAAATGCTGAATTTTTCATTGTAAAAATGTTTTGTTATCTATTCATTATTTATATTACTTACCAATTAATATTAAATGGTATATGTGAAATGCCTTAAGCCCTTATTGAGATCTAAATTATTTCAGAATATTCTAATGAAGAAGGTGGATAACTCTTAGATTCCTTCTATTTATGAAATCACTGTAGTCATCCAGCAACTTGAGGTAATATAGGAAGGGCTCTGTGTCTGAGGGGTCTGCTGAATGGTTGGGGGCCCCTCTCCATGTTCACACACAAGAGCCAAGCCTGCCAGTTCTCTGTGGGGTTGTGGGTTCTCCACTGCCTCTTCACATCCAGACTGTTAGAATGCATTTTTCACTGTTACCAGTACAACTTGCCCCTGACAGCTGTCAAGCTGCCATAGGCTGAAACAAGCCAGGCTTAACATCCTGTGCTAGAGAGGTCTGAGCACTAGAAGCAAAGTACCTGTGTTCTGTAAGCCTCCACCCCAGGGCAAAGATCTCTCTGACGTCCCCTCCTAGACTCACAGCTGGGAGGTAAAATGGCAGGAAGTCTGATCTTTGAGTGAAGGGAATCCACTGGACTACATTCTAGAAAGGATGCTTCATAATCACCCCTTAAATATGCCAAGTGTGGACTTTCTCAAAGTCTTCCAGCAAAGCAAACTTTGTCTGTCTGCACTAACTGCTTGGTCTCTCTGCAGAAGTACCAGGACACAGAAAAAGGCATTTCTCACTAGAGTAAGCTTGGTGTGTGTTGCCCTCAAATCATCTTGCTCAGAAGAGTAGTAATCCTCAGTCTGACTCTTTCTCACTCCAATTGTTTACCCAGATTCTGATGTTGCTGATTCAATTCTCTCTCTCTCTCTCTCTCTCTCTCTCTCTCTCTCTCTCTCTCTCTCTCTCTCTCTCCTTCTTCTGTTCCCCCATCCCATCTCCCATCCTACCTATGCGATTTCCTTCATTTCTTTTGGCTAGAATAAAAGTCAGCATGGGTTTTGTAGAGCTGGGCCCATGGCCGACCTTCACTCTGTGTATTTTCCTGGACGTGGAGTGAAAAGGGGATCCAGCACTGCCTCAGTTCCTAGATACTGTGCAAAGCCCTCAGAGCCAGTCCTGTACTTTATCCTAAGACACCACCCTCTTCAGAACACATCTGCACTTCCTAGTACTTGGACTCATGGGAGATCTGCCTGTGGATCCCCTGCCCACCATGAGGCAACAGAGGCCACTTGGGGTTGAGGATGTGTGAGGAGGAACATCTAGGCCAGCAGCATACGGAACAGTGGTAATTCATTCATTCAGAACCAAAAGCATTAAACACACTCTATATTCATATATTAGGGCCTGAATTTATTTGACAATCCATGACTGAAAAGATTACAAAGAAAGAAGGACATGTCCTTATTTTTTAAGATTTATTTTTATTTTTTGTATATGAGTGCTTTGCTTGCATGTATGTAAGTTCACCTGTGTCATGCAAAGCCTGCAGCATCCAGAAGAGGACGTCGGATCCCCTGGAACTGGAGTTACGGGTGGTTGTTAACCACCACGTGGGTGCTGCAGTCCTCTGCAAGAAGAGCCAGTGCTCTTGAGCACTGAGCCATCTCTCCAACCCCAACGTGATCTTTTAAAAGATAGACAAAGACTTCATTTTCAAAGTAACTAGAGTCTTAAACACTACTGTAGTCTGAAGACAGATTAATTTTTTACTCACAAAAAGTTTTAGAACTATAACTTCATTGAAACATAAGTCAATTATTATGTCCACTGCCACCCCCTCAAAAAAAAACCCCACTCTGCTCAGTGAACAACACAGGAGACAGGTTAGAAACAGATTCTCCTTTTTCTCCTCATTAGTACCCCACTCTGCACACAGCAATCGTGGCTGGGCCTCATTTCATATTTGCTCACAGAATCTTTTGGGGGTATGCAGTCTGCAGGGGAGACTTGCCTGTGACTTACAGAACCATTTCTGTTGTTTCTACAGTGCTGTGAAACTGTCACGATCTAAAAACTCTGGAAGCTTTTATTGTGGTTACAGAACACTTGTAACATAAAGCTTGCCATCTTAACTGGATTGAGGCACCCAGTCCAGTCATGTTAACTATCTTCACAGTGCTTGCTGGGGCTCAAACCCAAAGCCCCCCAGTCTGCAAGCCAAGCCCTCTCCCACTGAGTCACACCCACAGTCCTGTCCATTGCTGTGGGACAGATCTGTAAAACTTTGGCATCTTGACAAACTGAAATTCTATGGCCTTTGAACAACTCCTGTTTTCCCCTTCAGCCCTCGCCTTGGTAACATAGGCTTGACTACTTTAGCACCATGTAATGGCTCATACCACACCTATAACTCTCAGCACTCAGGAGACTGCTACAGGGGAATCACCATGAGTTAGAGGTCAGCCTGGGCTACATAGTGAGTTCCAGGCTATCCTGGGCTACCAAGTGAGACTCTGTCTCAAAAATACAAAAAACTTTTTAAAAACTAGAGTTTGACTACTTCAGAGAGGTGTACACGTGGAATCTCTTACACTCATCAGCACTAGAGTCTCAAAAGTGTTTGCTTTACGTGAAAAAGGACAGAAGAGCTACTGGCCCTACACTGCCATTTGCCTTGCAAAATTTTATCTAACAAATTTTACCTATGCTATAATAAAAAATGGCACAATCACATTACTAAAGTGGCTGGAATCTTTGTTATCTCACCAGGGAATTTGAAGTGGCTCCTGGGTTTGACAGGAAATGCTGATTTCCAAAGCTGTCTATTCTTACGCAGTCTCTCCCGTATTTATAACCAAAACATTACACATGTTGTCTCACTTCTTCTGAGTTTCCACATCATCGCAACAATGAAGCCAGGATGTAGTAAATCCAGCACCCGCCTTTGACATGCAGGTAGAGATGATTCACCTTACTATGGCAAGAAGACTTCAAAGATCTGTTCATAGTTTCACCTGCCTTAAAAAATCAAGGAGAACTGGTTTTGTGGGGTCACTTTACTTTTAGCCTACGGATCATTTCAAAGAGTTATTGCTGTAGCCCTTGCAAGCTGCTATTCCTCCAGTTCTGTGAATTCAAAAGAACATAAGTCACAAGCCCTAGTTCTACCGGGCACCTCCCAAGTCAAGGTGATCTGGCCAAGGACCACCACTTAGAGAAGGTTGAGGTTCTCTCTCTCTCTCTCTCTCTCTCTCTCTCTCTCTCTCTCTCTCTCTCTCTCTCTTTTCTTTTATTTTTTACACTCCAAATCCACATGTCCCTTCTAAGAAACTAACCATTTCTCCCAATATGTAAACAGGTCTGACCATTTATGAGGCCCTGTCCCCATCAACTTCTTCCCTGCCCTTGACCTCTTCCCTGAGTACCCATCAAAGAAGGTCTTCTGCTTCCTCCTTGGTAAGAACCTCAGAGAGGAGCATTTGCACACCCACTGCAACTGGCATCTAGACTTTTCCAGAGAGGCAGTCTGCCTTTCCCTTCTTCCCAAGAGCTCCAGGGTCTTTCTTCCGGGCTCATATTTCCTATCAGCTCAGACCCTTGTATCCCCCAGGTGTCCAAGAAACAATCTTTGCCCACAAGGAGTCTGAAAGGCTTCATACTGTTCACTCTGGGACACATTTCCCCAGAATTAATGTGCATATTCTCCTAGCCACCAGATGTGTCATCTTCCTGAGGTGGTCAGCAAGTGACTCCCCCAGGAAAGCTGTGTCCCAGTCTTGGGAATAACACGGCAGTGCCTGGGGAGCTGGGATTATGCTGAGGATGCTGACCAACATCCAACCCCTAGGATGCTTGAGAAATGGAAAAACAAGCTTTGCACGTTGCCTGGGTTCTGCCAAATCAGCAGGCCCCTGCTGTGGCCAATCAAGAACTTCTCTCAGAAGTGATATTGGCTCATTCTTCTCATCTCGCTGATTGGCTTTGAGAAATGGGCGGAGCTACTGAGTCTGCCCCTGCTTCCCATTGGTGGATGAAATTTAAAGGTGGGCCTCCAGCAAGTGTTTGTCCTGTAACAAAAGGGAATGTCTTGGGGATTTTCCCCCTGCTTTGGAAATCTAGCCTTCAGGCAAATTATAAGTAGGAACCCAATTTGAAAGTAAGAAATCTGAATGGAATTAAGCTGTCAGGTCCTCAGAAGGGCGCATTCCCACCTCAGTCTGAGGTCTGAATGTGCCAAACACAGGCACTTGTTTTAAGGGAAAGGATTACCAGATTTTGCCAACAGTTAGCCAGCAGCTACCCCCAAACAGGTCACCAGTGGCAAGAAAAGTGACAGTTCTTTTTTTCTTCTTCTTTTTTTTTTTTTTTTAAGCTTTAAATGATTTTTCAAGGCTGAGCAGTAGTTGCAAGCACATGACTTTAACTGCTTGCAAGGGCTTTTGCTGCCGCCTAAAATGAAGCTACTCTCTCATTAAGAGAGAGTTACCACCGACCCCGGTGTATGACCCTTTCCCAGCTGCTTTTCGATGGCCATAACACTACACTGCTCAATCCCACCTAAGGCAGAAGGCAAGAAGCCCGGCCTTCTGTGGAAACTGGGTACAATCTCCCCGCTCTTCTGCTCCCAAAACCAAAGAGGACTGACTCTAGGGAGCCAGGAAAGGTGTGAGAAGTCTTCCTGGACAGAGAGCGGAGTATAGCGTGGAACAGAGGTGAACCGGACAGAGGACGCGAGACAGGGCCACCATGGGCTTGCTGCAAGGTCTTCTCGGAGCAAGAAAACTGCTGCTGGTCATCTGCGTCCCGCTGCTGCTGCTGCCTCTGCCCATCCTCTATCCCAGCAGCGTAAGTAGCAACCTGTCCCCCAGGGCCCGGGCATCAGTGGGAATGGAAGAGCAAAGAAGGGAGCCCCGGAGGGAGTGGTGTGCTTATGGTGCACTCAAAACTACTTCTTTGTGAGTTGGATGAAACGGATACCTTTTTCTGGAAGAGACCAAAATGCCTCCTTCCTTAACAAGGTCATTTCCATCCCTCCATCTCAGTGCAGGTCCCCCAATCTGGCCCTCAGCCAGGCCAGAATAGAATCGTGGACCATGGCTGAAACGACTGGGTCTATTGCAAAAAAAAGCACAGGAGCTGCCGTTCAACTGACAGAAAGGTCATGTTGGTGAGCCCTTCTTTGTCAACCTGTGGCTATCTTTATCTGACAGTAACTAGAAATTCAGAGAACCCTCCAGTATCAACCCAGAAAATGGTGGAGGTGGGAGGGCATCGCCTATCCATGGTCTGTGGTTGGGTCATGGTGGGTGCTTACGATCAGAATGTGAAAATGGCTATCCCTAACCTTTCCTGAAAACTTGCAGGAAGTGGAGTTTAGGTTGGAAGCAGAACTTGGTCTTTTGTCCTGATCCCATGTATCTGACCTTTGGACTACCTGCATCCCCTGTGTTTTGTTCTCTGGTCTTGAAAGACAGGCCTAAAGCAACCATAAAAAAGAAATGAAAGTCCCCAAACTCCGGCCCATGGCTAATTTTTAAGCGAGATTGTAGTTTTGTTCGTACTCAGCTGGCCTCTTGGACCTTCACTGTCTCCCTTCTGCTCCTCTCTCTCCTCACCTGTCTGGGCCTGTACAGCTTCCCCAGCTGGCATTTGAAACATCAGGAAAAATAAGCTAAGACAGGTTAACGACAGTTGTGGGAAGAAAAGAACATCTCCCACACTGATCCCTAAGGGACTGGGTAACCAAGATTAAGTTAAAAAGTTAAACCAAAGGGATTAGCATGGGCTTGTTAAATACAAACCGATTTAACTCTTTAGTAAAATAAATACTTCAGTAAGCCAGTGAGGCACCAACTAACTCTGGGCTGGGATTAGCAGGCAGTGATTAGCACACTCTGCTTAATCATTTTTTCTTAATACTGCCACAGACAGCTGGAACAGTAACCCATTCCAATTCTTAGGATATTTACAACTGAAAAGCTTATCTCAGCCAAGTCCTCCTGATTCAAATCAAAAGGTGCTTGGTAGAAAAAAAATCTCTTTCTCCTTTCACCACTTAACTTGAGGCCCTGTAAAGTAACCAGAATAAGGGTCTTCCAAATGAGGGACAGACATTCAGCACTTACATCTTAACCTGGAATTAACCTCATTCTGTCTCTTACACATGAAAAGGAAGATGAGCTAAAGCATTGACTCGTTAGGGGGACCTTTATGTCTACAACAATGAGGGCATTTCTTTAAACTGGATTCTGTTCCTAAAGGTAGCAACTCTATTGTTGCTACCTTTTTAAAAGTTTTATCTTCTCTCTGATCTTTTTGTCCATAGAGGAAATCTCAGAGGCAGCTACAACAGGGGCTCAGTTTCCACTTCCAAAACCCCAACCTACTCAAATCCACAACTATCCAGTGGAAGGAGCAAGGTCCTTCTGACACAGCCAGATAATGGCTCCTGCTGCTCCCCACTGATCCCAAGAAACTTTTGTGACTTTTATGTAAGAATTGGAGGAGTTTGAAATCAAACAAGATCCAAGATCTCTAAGTTTCCTTGAGCGGCAGGCAGACAAGAGCCAGGTCAGCTCTATGCCCTGATGGTTTAGAGTGATATAAAAATTGAGGAAGTCACAGCTGACTTGGATTTCCTATACAGTGGCCCTCTGTGTCCCACAGCTTAGAATGTTACCATTATGAAGATCTTGGACAGGGCCCACCTCCAAGAGTAAGCCATAAAGATGTTTCCATGGCACCGGGCAGGAGGTGTGGTCTCCAAGGACACTGAGCCCCGATTTGGGTTATTACAACTGGGGAGATGCTACTGATAGCTAAGTGGAAAGAGACAAAAGATGCTGCTAGACATTGTGTGCCACACAGCACAACCCCAAAACAATGAGTAATCCTGTTCTTTGTGTCATCAGAGCCAAGGCTGAGGAATATTGAATGTGTTCTTCTTTGTCCAGAATGTAACTCTAGTTCCAGGGACTGCTGCCTGTCCCTCTACAGTCCCCACCATCTCCCTTCATCTCCTTTCTAAGTTTTCAAAGAGGCCCTCGGGGAAGAGCTTTCCAACTCAGTGCTAGTCAGTGCTACAATCTGAGGCTGAGGAATGAAGGGGAAAGCAGTCATCACTTCTTGCTCAACAATTCATTGGATTAATGTCTTCTAAGTCCAGCGTGGTAGTGCAGGCCTGTAGTCCCAAGCACTGCAGAGGCAGGAGGATCACTTCAGCCCATGAATTTGAAATCAACCTGGAAGAGCAACACGACTCTGTCCAAAAAAAAAAAAAAAAATTACTACTCTATCAAATTGTTTTGGTAAATACTCTTAAGCAAGAGGATTTAACTTTATTTATTCATTTTTAAGACAGTGAAGCATACCTATATTTCACATGATCTTTTAAATGTAAAGGCAGTACGTAAATCAAATGAGAACAGGGCTATGAGATCACAGTTTGGAAGACACTTTGTGGATTATTTCTAAACCTCACTTCTTATCAAAAGTCTTCCTTTCAGTGGAGCACACTCCAAATGCCCCATATTTTCATACTTTGCAGACTTTGACTAAAGTTAGGGTGGCTGACCTCAGAGCACATATGTGAACCAATCACACACACACTGATCCATCTTCAGCTACCCCAATATCTGATCAACTTGACCCCAATATGTTGTATCATAGCCCCTGTTAAAGCTTGAACTCTACCTCCATAGTTCATGAACGTGGCCCTGGATACTGCAGTTAAATTCAATAGTCACCCTCCACAGCTTCACCCTCCACGAGAGCATGGAACTTTATCAAAGGCCAGTGGCCACATTGCTACATGTATAGACCACACACAAAGCCTGGGTCCTTCCAAGGAGCTTTATCTTCACCCACAAACGATGGGTGCTTTACTTGTCTACCAGTTCCAGTGTAGCATCTCCCAGGATTGTATCCTAGTGTCCATGTGGGGTCCAAGCGCCTTGTCCCTGAGTTTTATTCTGAGTCTCAGTGACAGTGACTGTCCCAGTGACTAACCACTTCTTTCCTCCCCTTCCAGGAGGCTGCATGCGCTTACGTGTTGATTGTGACAGCTGTATACTGGGTGTCCGAGGCGGTGCCTCTTGGAGCTGCAGCCCTCGTGCCTGCCTTCCTCTACCCATTCTTCGGAGTTCTCCGTTCCAGTGAGGTTAGACTACTTATGACCCAGCCCTTCACTCAGGTCCTTCTGAGCCAGCAAAACAGGACTCCGGATGACAGGAGAGTCATAAGTACTTGCTGGGGAGGGGCTTTTCTTACCCACAGGAAAAACTCCTGAGTACTAGCTTTGCATTTGCTATTCCAGACCTTCAGTTCTTCCCCTTCTGCCCTTGGCCCTTGGCTCCTTCAAAGTGCTCAAAACTTGCCTCTTTCAGGAAGCCTTCCTTGAGCAAACACAGCCAATTTCTCATTCTGTGTGATTGGTACCTATAAGGAGACTGTAGTTTATCTTTTTCAGGGTCGTATATGTTCTTTAGACTCACACAGAGGCAGGAAGTAAGGCTCCTCTCTTAGGTTTCTCCTAATACAGCTGAGCCCGTATGAAGGAGATACCCAATCAGTGTTTGTTGACAGAGTTTTTCTATTCTTCCCTACAGTCTGGCTTCTTTCTTCTACCCCTCTAAAGCAAAACCACATATTTCTGCTCCTTCCTTCCCAACTCCAGATCACCACATGATCTCTCTGACCACTCTCTGCCTGCAGCCCACCCTCTTTGTTTACCTTCTGTGGCATTTGCCAAAGCTCAAACTGAAATTGTAAATACCAAGCCCACGTTGTGGCAAACTTCAGGGCAAATACTTAGGCCTACCACAGGGAAGAAAAAAAAAAAAAAAAAAAAAAAAAAAAACTTCCAGGATGGGAACAAGGTAAATAGCAAACCTACTTCATTTGGTTCCACTAGGGCCCATGGTCTTTGTGTAGGGTGTCTGATGAAGAAGACCACAAAGTAGAGGTAGGTACGAGGTAAGGCAGACACAGATGAACAGGGAACAGATGGTTGAATCCCACTAAGAATCAGGCACTATGCCAGAGGTCCTGCATTCATTATTTAATGCAGAACTCTCAAGATCTGTACAAAACTGAGTATTGTTGTCTCCATTCTGCACCTGAGGAAAGAAGCTTGGAGGGTTAAGAAACGTACCCCGAATTGTACAGTAGAAGGTGGAAAAACTGCACCTATTAGATTTCACAGCCAAACAATAGCATTTCTAAAGTATTATATAGCTTTATGGTGTTATCAATCCACAGAGTTATTGCTAAGAATTGTGGGTATCTCTGTCTTTGTGATTTGAGGAAGAATGAAGCTGGGTCTACAGAATGCCTTAACCATGGACAGCAGAACTTTTTTGAAAGTACAAAGACAGAATTAGGTTATCCCTTGATAGTTGTGCTCGGTCCCAAGTGAATGGCTTCTATTTCGGTAGGATGAACTTGACTGACCAGTTTTTGTTGTTTTGCTTTAGATTTCATTTTCTTTTTTTCCTATGAGTAGCCATATCCACAAGCTTCTCTAAAAAAAAAAGGAGAGGATCCCCAAACTGTGAGCAGTGTTTTTGTCCCTAGAGATGTGGGTAACACAGACATCGAGGGAGGAAGCATACAAAAACCAGTCTGTGAGGCAGTCATTCTGACGTTTTTCCTTCTTTGATGGAAAGGAAAAAAGGGTAGAATGGGTTTCTTGTGCATGCCTAAAAGAAAAATCAACATTAAAGATAACTTTTCTTAAGAAAAGTGTACAAAGGTATTCTGCATATTTCTCCTTAAAATTGTGGACTCAGGACCTCATAGGGGAAGCAGTTAAGGTTGGAGGGTAAAGGAGGGAAGTAAAGTTTCATGCTGTTGGAGGTACTCTAGAAGCTAGTCTAAAAGAAGACGAAGAGGTTTAGAGAGACCTGGATGCAAAGTTAACATTCTAAAGTGAGGTAACTATTCATTAAGAGACTTAATCTTCATATTTCTCCACAGGCAGCCCACAAGCCAACAGTGTACCTTACCTACAGTACATGGTGTCTCCATTTCTCCAAGGGAGTGGAGATGTTGCCAGGCAACAGCTATCCAAGGCCTGCCCCCTTTGCATAGCCAGGAAAGTCAGCCTGTAGGAAGAGTCTATGGAAAAGGCCATGGTTTGTGGAGGATGCTGTTAACTCCAGAAGAACAACCTTCATGAATGATTTGGTGTTGCTGCTTCTGGCAGTGGGGATGAGAGGGCGATTTTATCATTTGAGGAAAAATCCATCTGTCTAAGTGGCTCTGACCAGTTTTAGCAGTTGGGCTACAGGTGGCAGTTTAGTCCAAATATAGTGTTTAGCTGAACTTAGCTCAGATTAAAAGAAAATGCCCATAAGGTAGAGGACCTGGGTGGGTAATAGCCCTTTGTAAGCCAGATAACTGCAGAGCAAACATTTACCATCCACCTACACCAATGTGGACCGTGGCTCACAAGGGACAGCTAGGCTGACACTCCTCAGAAGCCCCTAAATCACCCACATGTCTTATTCCTAACTCATGTTTGGTCATTCCTTGTGAGACTTAATCATCTTAGAAAGTTACTTCCAATTTTTTCAACTTTTAAAATCCTACTTAGTTACACTCTGGTAAGTGCTTCCAAAGACCTCAGCTGAGAATCATTCCTTTCCCTCTAAGCCTACTGTTCTCATCTTTTAAACAGTACATACCAGCCATAAGCTTTTAGTAGACATGTATTCTCGCCTCTAAGTCTTAGCCCCTCCAGGACTTGTAGTGTTTCATGGCCTGCGCATACTCCAGTGCCACCCTTGCATCTGCCCTCAAGTTGTGGTTCTTGATCGCTGTGCTTCTTAGTGGGTATATACAAACAGCATGGTCTCAATGTGAAGGAAGACATGTGAATGGTGTTGATCTAGCTCTGGATTTTTCAGACAGGGTCTCCCTGTAGCCCCAGCTGGCTTGACCTCACCATGTAAGCCAGGCTAGCCTCAATCTCACAGAGATCCACCTGCCTCTGTCTCCCAGATGCTGGGATTAAAGGCATTCTTTCTGGCCTTCCTGAGTTTCCCACTGCCTAAGACTGATTATAGTAGTCAGTGTCCAGTAAGTAGAAAAATGGAACCAATCCTACAGGAGGATAGGGACGCTAAAGATATAGATCCAGGCATAGATATAGATGGACTTATTATAAGGAACTGACTCACTCAGTCATGCTGTTGAGGCATCCCATGATCTGCTTCTGCATCAGGAGACCCAGGAAGCATGTGGTATGGGTCCAAAGGCCAGAGAACCAGGGGAGCTAATGGTGTAAATCCCAGTCAAAGAGCAGAAGATGAGATGTCCCCGGTCAAGTGACAGAGCTAGAAGAAAAGGGACAAAGTCCTAGTCCCTCCATCTGCTGTTCTACTCAGGATTTTGGTAGACTGGATGATGTGTCTGCTCTGGGGAGGGCCATCTGCATGGTGGAGTGCATAGATTCTTCCAGAGCCTCCTCTCAGACACAGTAACAGTTTCATGTGAGCACCTCCTGGCCCATTCAAATTGGTACATAGAATTAACCATCACAGGTATATAAATCGCTACCATTTTTTGAATCCAGGGTTTAATGTATACATGCTAGGCAAGCACTCTATCACTGAACTATATCCCTATATATTTTATTTTTCATTTTGTATGTTTTAATTCAGGATCTCATATAGCCCAGACTGACCTCAAACTTGCTATGCAATTGAGGATAACCTTGAACTTCTGATTCTTCTCCTTCCACCTCCCTAGTTATAGGATTACAAGCATGTGTAATCATACCTGGTTTTGTGGTGCTGGGGATTGATCCTAAGACTTTGTGCCTGTTAAGACATGTATCACACCAACAGAGCCACATCCCCAGTCCCTTCCTCTAGTCCTTTATATATATGTTACAGGCCTGTGCCACAAGGCCCAGTTTAAATGATTACTTTGTGTGTGTGTGTGTGTGTGTGTGTGTGTGTGTGTGTGTGTGTGTCTGTGTGTGTCTGTGTGTCTGTGTGTCTGTGTGACACAGTGTCTCACCATGTAGCCCTGTCTAGTCTGGAACTTACCATGTTGATCAGGCTGGCCTCAAACTTACTATGTAAACCAGGCTGGCCTAAATGCTCTGCCTTGTGAGTGCTGAGATTAAAGGTATACACAACCATGCCAGGCTTGCATGGTTACTGTTTATGGTAATAACTTATAGGCCACAAATACTAGCGTTGTGTGAAAAGCTGTAACTGCTTTCTCATAGCAGAATTCTGGCCCTAAGAAGAGCTATGGAGCAACAAGAAAGGCTCCTGCCCTTTAGAAGTTTCTGTTCTAGTTGAGAAATGCATAAAGCACAAGGAAAATCCAGAAAACTATGCAGTCATTCCCTTCTTTCTGGCATTTTTGTTGAAATAAAATTCACATTATTAAGTGCCCAAAGTTTATGTCAGCCACTTTGTTTTTTAGGGTTTTGGGGGGGATTTTTTTAATTTTTATTTTATATGTATGAGTTTTATGCCTGCATGTAAGTGCACCTGTGTCATGCAATGCTCACAGAGGTCAGAAGAGGGCGTCAGATCCCCTGGAACTAGAGTTACAGATGGTTATTAGCCACCATGTAGGTGTTGGGAATCGAACCTGGGTCCTCAGCAAGAGCAGCCAATGCTCTTAACCACTGAGTCATTTCACTGGCGATACAGTCAGTGTTGCTGGATATAACAACAGGCTAAAAGTGATGAATGAAATTTAATGAGGATAAATGTAAGCAATTACTGCAGAAAGACCCTTGGCTGATAGCTAAGAACAGGCTCAGTGTGAGTCATCTGTCAGTCCAAAGTGGCTGCCAAAATTCCAAGCATTTACCGTCTGCCAGGCTCTCTGGGACATCATGCCCATGCACTGACATTTTGATCCTCTATAAGGAGCTATTATTTTTTTCCTTTGTTTTACAGAGGTGCAAACTGAAATTTAGAAAGGTTAAATAACTTACTTGAGGTTGTACAGCTACTAAGCCATAAAACCAGGATTTGAATCCAGAAGCATGTGATTCCAAAGCTTGAGCTCTTGACCCCTGGGATCTCTATACCAAAATCTTCCATTGGATTAATAAATCATGTGTCCATCACATCAAATTCTAGATAAGGCACTCTTCCAGAGGTGGATAGCCAGGTGTCAAAGATCTGA